AAAATGATTTTTACCAAGTCATTTACCTCTCCAAACTTTATGCTAGAAACTTTAATCTCTCTGTTTTTTTTTCTTTGTTTACAGTTGGAAAGTATATCGGACTCAAGGCTTCTGTGCCTAGATGCGAAGTAAAGGAGAAGCTGTCATTTTCAACTGGGCAACTCGCTGTGATGTAAGAATTTCGCAAATACCTACTACTATAGAATACGGATAAGAAAGTTTGTTTGTTTGTTTTGAATTTCGCCCAAAGTTTCACGAGGGCTATCTGCTCTAGCCGTCCCTAATTTAGCAGTATAAGACTAGAGGGAAGGCAGCTAGTCATCACCACCCACCGCCAACTCTTGGGCTACTATTTTACCAACGAATAGTGGGATTGACCGTCACATTATAACGCCCCCACGGATGAAAGGGCGACTATGTTTTGGTGGGACGGGGATTGCGAGACAAACGTCCTAACCACCTGGCCATGCCGGGCCAGGACACTAATATTGGCACTTTTTCTGTACACATTTTCCTTGTCGTCAGCTTGTCATAAATATAATACATAGGGTTTCTGATGTTTCTTTGCGTGAAAACTATGCACGCTCTATTTAGAAAATCAAAGTCATCATACTCAACGAAAATACAAGCATTTTGAAATCTAGTTTCTTCTTCAAATTAAATGTCAAAGGAAACAAGATTACTATAAGACGAGTTTTGGTTGTTTGTAGTTACGCAAAAAGCTACACAATGGACTATCTGTGCTCTGCCCACCACGGGTATCGAAACCCGGTTTCTTGCGTTGTAAGTCCGCAGACATACCGCTGTGCCACTGGGAGGCACTATAAGACGGGAAACGCAATTTTGGATAATACTATTTAAAATCATGATATGTATCACAAAAATATTTCAGTTCGAGCTGATGATTAACGGTTGGTGTTCGCGTATTTGATTTTTTTTTGTAATTTTATGGAGTAATTCTAGGATGGATCCGTGCTTTTATGAGATACAAATCTTCAACGTGAAAGCCATTTCGCTTATTCTGTTGTAAGAAATAGACAAGGTTCTTGTAGTGACATATGTTGTTACCTGCCCTCTTGTCAGTAATTCAAAATTAGGTATGGCTGAATCCTAAGGGTCTCTGGTCTGGTCGTTTAGCCCATGTGCCCATAACATACCGTTTCGGTTTAGAATCCCACTTCCGTTTCGTAGTGGTAATTCAGTTAGGTTGTAGAGTTAGCAAACAATTTGGTGTAGGTGTTTGGTTATCTTTGGAATTTTATAGTTTAATTCAATTAGGTTGTATGGTTAGCAAATAACTTGGTGTGGGTGTTTGGTTATCTTTGGAATTTTATAGCTTAATTCAGTTAGGTTGTATAGTTAGCAAACAATTTGGTGTAGGTGTTTGGTTATCTTTGGAATTTTATAGTTTAATTCAATTAGGTTGTATGGTTAGCAAACAATTTGGTGTAGGTGTTTGGTTAACTTTGGAATTTAATGTAATTCAAATAGGTTGTATAGTTAGCAAATAACTTGGTGAAGGTGTTTGGTTAACTTTGGAATTTAATGTAATTCAAATAGGTTATATAGTTAGCAAGCAACTTGATGTAGGTGTTTGGTTATTTTTGGAATTTTACTGTAATTATAGGATGCATTTCTGTTATTATGAGACTTAAATGTAAACGAAAACAACTTCTATTTCTGATAATTCCCCTTTAATTATCATTTTATAGAGCAGTCCTTGGTGTCTTTGTGGCTTTGTTAATAACAGGCACAATCGTAGAGTTATTCTACAGCTTGTGGAAAGACCAACCAATTCAGAAACAAGGTACGACCTGTTACAAGTATTTTAAACAATTTGTGGCCGCACAATCCCGAATTTGAACTTTTTATAATTTGTAGAACCTTCCACATTTGTATTAAAATCACAGTTAAAGATTACAACTTGATAATACTTAGTGTTGCCGAGTCCTGTTGATTTTGTATAGCTTCAGATTTGTAATTATCAAACTCTATATCACTTTTAATTACTATTCTTCCTTAGCTCGACTAAACATTGCACAGTTTCATTAGTGAAATATTACTTTTATTAAAAACATGTAGTTCAATGTTTGATGAATTTTCAGTTTCCAAGAAAATGCTCTATTATACGATTTTACTGCCACCTAGTGGTAGAGTGCACAGAACTCGGCGACGTCACTTCTCAAACTACATGTCAATGTATGCTTACATTCAGCCATATCTAGAATAGGCTGGAGATTCAATTATTACAGGTCTTGCTGTACAGTTGGTGTCTATTTAATTGATATTATAAATTCAATTATTACAGGTCTTGCTGTACAGTTGGTGTCTATTTAATTGATATTATAGATTCAATTATTACAGGTCTTGCTGTACAGTTGGTGTCTATTTAATTGATATTATAGATATTATATTGATATTATTGATATTATATTATTACAGGTCTTGCTGTACAGTTGGTGTCTACCTTCTCCATATACACCAATTCCAAGAATCTTTTTAACACAACGTCTTCTGCTGAATCTTTACGTGCTCTGCATGGCTTGAAATTTTTCAGTATGAACTGGATCATTTTAGGACACACCTACCTATTTGTGAACTTCCAAGCTCTTCGTAAGTGTATATTCATTGGCTTGATTTAGTGTACCAAAAAAATCTTTAGTAAGCAAATGCATCAATTGGTGTTTATAATTCAACGTGTTTGATGGTGTTTATAATTCAACGTGTTTGATGGTGTTTATAATTTAACGTGTTTGATGGTGTTTATAATTCAACGTGTTTAATGATGTTTATAATTCAACGTGTTTGGTGGTGTTTATAATTCAACGTGTTTAATGATGTTTATAATTCAACATGTTTGGTGGTGTTTATAATTCAACGTGTTTGATGGTGTTTATAATTCAACGTGTTTAATGATGTTTATAAT